CAATCTCTCATGCACGCAAGCAGATTTAGATTAAAAAACATAAGTGCTTGTTCTATCTTTCTATATACTAGATGTACATATATGTTGATGCATATGTGCATACGCAATAAGTAAGTACATAAACAAAGTTAAAGAAGATTGTCAATAGCTGGCCAGCAGTGCAAGACAACATAACGGGTGATTTTTTTGAGGTTAGGATTTTCATGCATTAGTATTTGACAGATCACGTGGGATTTCAGACATGGTGTCAAAGAGAAAGATGCTCAGTATGCTTTGACATTTCATCATGAATAGACTTACTAACGAGCAACGCTTGCAAATCATTGAATTTTATTACCAAAATCAGTGTTCGGTTCGAAATGTGTTTCGCAAACCCAATTGCTGCGAACGGCGACGAATCGACATTTCACGGTCTTCAGCAACACTCTCAGAAACAGACGCAATATTCTCTTCTGTACGCACTGTACGCATTCGTGTGGTTGGTTTAATGTCCAATAAAGTAAACTGAGTGCGAAACTTGGTCACAATCGCATTAATTGTTTGCTCACTTGGTCGATTATGTAGACCATAAATCGGACGTAAAGCGAACCGAACACTGATTTTGGTAATAAAATTCAATGATTTGCAAGCGTTGCTCGTTAGTAAGTCTATTCATGATGAAATGTCAAAGCATACTGAGCATCTTTCTCTTTGACACCATGTCTGAAATCCCACGTGATCTGTCAAATACTAATGCATGAAAATCCTAACCTCAAAAAAATCACCCGTTACAAGCAAAAGTATTTACACACATACATACATACTATGTATTGAAAATATAAATAAAAATAATAGATTGGCGCTTACACATATGTTAGTGTTTGGCCGAGCTTCTCCTCCGATTTGTGGCGTGCGCCTTGATGTTGTCACACAAAGGGGAGGGACCTACAGTTTTACGCCGACTCCGAACGGCTATCATGGCAGAAATACACTCGGAGGTTTACCATTGCATGCCAAGGGGCGCCCGCTGTTAAGAAAAAACATATTTTCTAAATCTTTTTGCGATGTTGCTTTGACCGGGACTTGAACCCAGGCGCCGCGGAGTGGAAGCGTTCACTGCTTACCACTACACCACAGCGGCCGCCGAAAATATTATTGCGCCATAAATTCTCGTACTTACAAATGCACATACATACATACATATGTATATTGACTCTAGCAACAAGTTGTGTAAATCTTTAGATGAGAACAACAATTTGCAACATCGCATTTCAAAATGGTAAATAAAGGCCTAGGCATTACTTGTTATCGGTATTGCTTTGGCAAATAAACTTAGTAAACTTAATAAAACTGTACCATATTACACGTGTGAAGTAATTCCCATTCCGCAATAGTCGTGTACGTCTGTTACATTGCAGCTTTACCAAAGGCCAGCTGTTTTCCGCAGTTTTTAGTAGGGCATCAGGTAATTGCATTTTTCAATTTATAGCATAACGAGTTCAATTAAATTTCACACTTATCGGCAGTGCCTTACCTACTTTCTAAAACTTAACATCCATAAGAATGTCTTCGTGCCTAATTCAACCCTATGTTACTTGTGAGTAAAATATATGACTCATAAAAAATCTCACGCCCGTATGCGGCGCCACGCCTACTTTCCCAAGCTCATTCATATTCATCTTCATTAAAGCATCAGTATGAGAAATGTCCGCATTCCCAATTTCAATTTACTGCGACTTGGGGATCCAAGGATATGTCTCTTTAAAAATTGTCGTCGCTAAAGCTTGGACATTGGCAACATCCCAGGTGGCCGGCGCTCAGTTGGCACAGAAGAGAAACGACTGGCGTGCTTTGTTGAAATCGTTGAGAAGAACAAGAATTCAACGAAATATTATTTTGACTGGAGATGAGCAAAAAGAACGATCATTATAATAATTTTCGAATATTCATATGTACATCTATTTTCCATTCATTAACTAGAAGTGCATCCTCAAATTGTGCAGGGTGTAGCGATGACCACTGGGTTAGCTAGTTTACTATATTTTTGCTGCAAAATTCAATAACAAATGCAAGCAAATATCTAAACGAGCGCCTAATACATATGTACATGCTAAATATGTTACACCGTGTGAATCTGTTAAATGCATTTGAATTAATTTACAAAGTTCATTGACAGCTGAGTACATTTTCAATGCTGCTGTGCGGGCGGTGCCGAAAAATTTGACTTACTTCGTGCTGTAAGCGAAATGCTTGCATGCGATAGTTCTCCTTTACGTGAGGCGTGCAAAACGTATGCACGCGTATAAACAGGGTCGTAGCGCAGGGAAAATTGCCAAAGGCGAGAAGAATATTCAGCCTCCACGACGAAACGTCTAATACTCTGAAACTTAGCGCAATATGTATTTTGCCCACCTGCAGCCACTGTAAGAGCCCCAGTGATTGTTGAGCAAAATATTAATTTAAGGTACTGACGGTTTAACTTATTGCGGACACAGGAAACCCTTTCTACCCAATGGTCAGATATTTCATTGCCACGTACTCCCGAGTGAGCTAGTACCCAGAGAAAAACAAGCTTGCTATGTTCTTCAACATAATTTAGTGGAGACTTGCATTGCGGAACCAGTCTGGAAGTAGTTAGAAGGCTGATAATTCCTTGAGTGCAGACATGTAAATAGTAACTCTATATAATACACTGTTCAAGAAAGCCATAAATGCTATAGTGCATATGTGCGCGAACGTATTGGAAACTCATTATTTTAAGTATGTATGTAGTTAACCTAATTGATAGTTTTCCAAAGAGAAGTTATAATTTTTACATATATCTGACAACACTTAAGTATTTTATAATTTTTTTGTTTCAGCTAGTATTTATATGTATACTTATTAATGCACATTTCTCACACATCTTTATCTTCTGGTCACATTTATCCAGTTCATACAAGTATTAAATATAATATGTAATGAATGTATGTATGTATAAAACGTTTAATAAGTATAAATATTTGGCATCGTAAAATGTTGTTGATAAAAATGTTAACTAATGGCGATTTCGTTTCTACAAAAAATGTTGCCTCTCCTTAGTGTTTGTGCGTATAGAGCAAAGAGAAGGTTGCACTTTTCGGTAGAAACGAAATCGGCATAAGTAAGAATGTGCGGGCTAATAATAAAAAGTGTCAAATTCATTTGTTGACAAACAAAAATAAAGAAGTAATATAAATCAATTAGCAGTTGTCTGAGTTGAACGCGCCAAAATTGTGAGACTAACACCAAGTACGAATCGCATATGGATTGAAGGGGCTGAGGGGTTAGGTATAAGTGAGAAATTTAGAAATTTAGGTCGTCCATACAATTTTGTTCGCAAAGTTGCCATTTCACTAAAAATGCCACTTTGCGATGTTTCATGAATCGCACTAATGGCTATTTTTTTGAACGTAATACCCAACATTGTCATTAAAATTTATAAATTTGTTTGTAATTTCATGCTTAGTGGAAATTTGTCATTAACCCTACTCAAGGAAATGCTTAATTTTTTTTATCACAAATGAAAACACTTTATGTTTTACTTCGAAACTAAGCACTATTTTTTTTTTTAATTTTACTAGAGCTACAAATACATCAGAGCACTATCGATAGTATCAATGTTTTAATATTTTTTTTTTAAAACATCGATATTTTTTACTATCGATGCTTTTAGAAGATATGCCATCATTAGAAAGTTTATCCGTTGCTGAGTCGGGGCAGGCAAGAAATATAAAAATTTAAGCGTAATAAATTCATAATCTTTAACAGTTTAGCTGATTTTTAATGCGAAAGCGTACCAATTAGTGTTAAGAGAAGTTATTGATCATATAAATTAAATGCCATTCGATCCCTGATCGGGAAAATGAAGACTAAAAATCTGAAGTTTGCCCTAAGTTATTGCCTTAAAGAGCAAATATTTAATTTATTTAATAAGACATTAATTAAAACACATATTAATCGCGTTGTTGCTTTATGAATATTTTTATATTATTTTTATTTTTCATTTAATTAATTGACAACTTGCAATATTCAATGTGACCTTAAATTTAAGTCAGATTAAATTTTAAATTAACTATCGGATAATTTTAAAATAATAAATGTAATTTTTTTTTAAATTATGTTTGTTTAATCATCAGGATTTCAACTTTCAACTTTATAATTCCCAAGAAAACACGATATTATCGATACTATCCATGTTTTATTGGCAAAACATCGAAACGGCGATAGTTTCAAACATCGATTTTTTTTTTGCAGCACTAGAGCTTGCGTATATGTTTATATGTTTTTGCAATACGGACGCTTTTTAGTTTTTTTCTTTTGTTTTCTCTAACTCTATATTTTTTTTTTGTACCACCTACAACTCAAAAAAAAAACTCTTCAAAATTTTATAGATTTTCTGAGATAAACCGAAGATCAATATGCATCAATTGAGAGAAAATCAAATGTCGATTCTTGAATTTTTTTAATCGATTCATGGATTGAATCTTAACTACATCATCTAATCGGAAGGGCTCGATTAATCGATCTTCGATTTAATCGATTTAAAAACGGCATCCCTACTATGCATGTGTGAATTTACTGATGCACAGATTGGACACTGAGATGGCCAGCTTAGTGGGTGCTAATAGGCGTATGAGCGACATTGATTGTCTGATTTTGAACGGGCGGTGTAGCAGCGTAGTCAGTTTTTATCATTTTTTTTTTTGTTTTGTACTTGGAGCTTATATTTGTGTGTGCTCATATCGTACCTTTGCTGCAAGAGTGTCATTAGCCAAAAATAAATAAAAATAAAAACAAGTTAAGTATACAGAAATTACCGCCACTTCTTCTTCGATGTTTTTTTAAATTTTCATTCCGATTAACAATAGCTTAGTAGAAGAAAATGTCGCTACCATGGAGCTGTAAACTGAAAATTTTACATTTAATTCTCGAGTTTTTGATCTTTCGTATTATGACACTTTTGCAGTAAAGATGTTTGTATTGTACAATTTTCTACTTACATTTATAGCGACTGCGCGTGTGAGCCAATAGCTAGCGTAGTTATTTCACATAACAGCCGGCGAAATAGCACAATAACAACGAAAATATTTCGACGTCACAATAAATTAATAAAACAAATAAATAAATTTACGATATAAGCAACAACACACCGGCACAAGAAATTCGCAAGACCTTGTTTGTTATTTGTTTTTTTTTTTTTTGTTTGCGCTTCGACACTTGCTTTAGAATTTGAGTGGAATAAAATGTCTGCTATTCGATTCACTTGTTGCTATTGCATTTTTGTGTACACCTGTATGTATGTATGTACATAAGACAGTGTCAAATAAAATTTTTTTTGTTCTGTCCCATATCTATGCGACTTGTGTGGGCGATCACAAAAAAAAATTGTGCAAAATGTCAGCCCTCTATCTTTGTTTTTCAGTTAGCATGGTAAAAAAAATCAATCAAAAAAAAATTTACAAAAAAAATTGCCAAAAATCAACGATAAGTCCTAACTACTTCAAACTTGCACCTTATTACTAGAATTGACTGGGTTACAAGATTTGGGTTTTTAATTTTATATATTTAATTGTTTATAAAAAGCCGCTGAAAAAATTTTTTTCATTGAAAATTCAAATTTTTCGCGCGCTAACTGAAAAATGCACCAATAAAACTGACATTTGGGCACATTTGTTTTTTTTTTTTAATTGTGACCGACAAGGAAATTTTCATTTGGCTCCAAAAGAAAAAAAAATTTTAGTTTTATTTAACACAGTCTAATGTGTGTACATACAAATTTTTTTTGTATGTGCTTTATGTAAATACATATGTATGTATGTAAGTCTTTTAGCTCTCGTGATGGCGCATTATTAAATTTTTGTATTCCTTTTTATTTCTAAAAATTGATTTACTCATTGCCGCAAATAAATTTAATATTCTTCGTTTTTAGTACTTTTGGCATAAAATTATATACTTTTAATTATTTTCACTTCAACTTTGTGTCTTTTGTTAATTTTTATTATTTTTCGTCCACAGTCGCAATGAAAATTATCAGACTGTAGACTGTAGACTGTGAACAAAATATATAAAAGCCATCAGCGTACATTAAGAAGTGCTGAAGAAACAATCGCGCGCTTT